TCCCCCCCTTGAGTCCTGGCAATATTTTTCCTATTACTGGTTATAGACGCATTGTCAGGCCCAAAAATCAAGGCCTAATCCGACCCAAACGCCCAGAAAATTTGGGTTTATTACAGCCTGAAGATAAACTACAATTGTTGCCAGATAATATAGTGGCAAATTATTATCCAAACCAATAATAACAAATTCAGCTACAGTTGAAGGCATTATTTTGGGGCTTTATTGGCCCTTTAATATAGTGGAAAGTGAAGATAGAAAAGCTAGGAAAGGGGGCAGAGAGAGGGGCGGGATCGACACAGAAAGGCGCCGCAGGGATCAGTTCGGAACGCCTAGGCCGCTGCAGCAACGAACCTCAACTTGCGGTAATTGGGTCGCCAGCTCTACCCACCTGAGCTAACGCGGGCGCCCTTTTTGTATAGTTTTGGGGGCTTTGGTTAATTGGTGAATGCATTCATTAATGGGTGGCTGTGGCTCGAGGCAAGCGGGTCGTCCCAAATGGGATTCCTACCATAACTCTGATTATGATTGGACTCGATTAAATGAGGGCTTTCACCTGCATTCCCAATGTACTGTACTGATCACTGAATACTTTCAATTCACTCTGCACTCAAATGTTACAGTAAGAGCTGTCTGTAATCCAAAACAAGATAATGACCTTCAAAGTGAGTTTACAGTCAGTGAACTCTTTATTCTCTATAGAGAAGTCAATCTTTGACTCACTTAACCACAGCAGGGTTCTTGGATCTGTTTCCAGTGGGTCTCATCCACTCGTCCATCATGACGCCTGTATGGCGGTTGACCAGGACCCCCAGGAAAAATAGTATGATGGGCGGGACGATCATCACTCCCAGAGAGTAGAGTTTGTTGTACTGAGGGAGGCACGGGCAGTTAAAGTCAAAGCTGGTGTAGAGCTTGACGCTGACCAAGGCCAGGATGATGCAGATGCCGTTGGAGATGGACTCAGAGTTGGACTGGAAATACTGCAGGACTAACTTCAGACGCTCCATTGCTTAGATATCCTGTAGGTAATGTTAAGGGTGGAGGTAGAAACAGTAAGGTGATGAAAACAGAAATAGGAAATCTGCACATGAAGGTCTGAGTATTAGATTTAAAACCCAGACTGCTCACCTTACAATGTGAACCAATCCTTTCTGAAGAAAAGCCTTAAATCCTCAGGTTTAGCGGTCTCAGTGAACAACCTGAGCTTAGTGGGGAGGCAGCAAGTGTGGAGTGAGTCCTGCAGTGATCCAGGGAGAGAATTCATGAAAACACCTGACCAGGTGACCGAGCCGTGCTGCCACACCCTGCCTCCCAGCACTCACATCAAAGGCTTACAGAGAGAAAGGGAGCCACAGCAGTCGTTCCTGGTACAGACTAGTATTGTAGTCCTGACTTGGCCTGTACTCAACCTCACAATGACTGTACAGTTAATCCACCACCACTCCAAAAAAGAAAAGAAAAATCCCTTATGTTCATAGTTTGAGCCAGTAGTTCCCAACCTTTTTCCTGAAGAGAGCCATTTTCTATCAGAGTAAACTAAGTTCATATTATATTCAGTAATAACAGTAGAGAATAGCTGATAAACTGTACAATGACAGCAGGAAGATTGTGTAAAAGCAGAGATTTAGATTGCATTTAGCAGATCATTTCCTGTGAATATTGACAACAGAGCAGCAGAGATGAGTTTTCCTGATATTTGTAGGAACTTTTTATACAATTAAGGGAACACTTTATTTGGAAAATCCACCTACAGATAATTTGGAACCTTTCAACAGTTTATTAGTTGAGATTAAACCATTTTCTGATGTTACACCACCGTGGTTATGATTTAGTTAGGGTGTGTGGTTTTTTTTTAAGTTGTTTGTGACAACTGTTTTTGTTTCCATTGTAGGCTACTGTTGATTGTTTCATATGTATAATCAGCCTCAAAATGCAATGAGCAGAAAGAGTAAATATCTGTGGATAATGTAATATTGTAATAAATAAAACTACTTTAGTACAGTAACTAAGTTTTTTTACTTTGCTGACAAAGGAACATACTATAAAAGAATTTGGAGCTTAGTGTATGCGTACAAGGAAAATGAAGAGCATTTCTTAATACTAGGAATGCTGGGAAAAAAAACATGTCAAAGTTATCAAATCATAGTTTATTTATATAAAAAGACATGGAAGAACATGAAAGTGCTTTGATTACAACATTGGTAATGACAATCTGAGAACTAACCTGACTGGACCGTGTCTCTATAGCTTTGTCTCGTTGAACAGATGCATAGACCCTGTGCATGTTAACAGTCAGGGCAGTGTGAGTGAAGGTAGAACAAAAATAACTTTGAGTTGTGCGTTTCACTGGAATGTTCTAGTGCTCGAGGGAGAAAATAAGCTGAAGAATGGGTAGACTGAATCAAATCTCAAAATGTCACTGACATCCTTCAAACACCCCACTGACAGTAAAATCTTAAAAAGGTTCAGTGGTTAAACACCACAGACTATGTTCAACACAAAAACAGTACAACAAAGAAGCATAAACAGTACTATCAAGGCAGTAAAGAAAGTAAAAGAGAAAAAAACAACAAACTATTCAAAGTCTACAAACAGTAGTTTCAGGATGTTTCCTTTACGTTTTTGCTACCAGAAACACCGGTTGGGAGCCATCCGGATGCAGCAGAAGGACTGTGGTCACAAGTTCATATCTGAATATTTCAAGCGCTCTCAGGTCAACGTGATCTCTGATGACTCTTTGGCATCGATCACTCTGAAGACTCCCACTTTCTCCTTCTTCTTGCTCCCCTTGTCGTTGTCTGAAAAAAAAAAATAAAAATACTTGAATTCAGTTCCTTATGATGATTTGATGACGCAACTCATTATTTTCTACGGCATCCTTAGATCAGACTGTAAGGGCAACCTTAGCCTAAGTGGGCTCCGCAGTACATGGAACTACGAGGTTAAAAAGAGCTATTAGAGACAAGTGTTGTTTGCACAATAAACAGTTTGAAAACTGTCTGCTTGGCTAGATACCATGACGGGTAGTGAGAAAAGGTTTGTGTGACTTGGCTAACAAGCACACACAAAGAAAATTAGTCTCTCAAGGAAGTTTCGATCGCAATACTGAATGTATATTCAACCATTTCCTTAGTGTGATTGTAACTTTATACAAGTAATGTTAACTTCATTAATCCAATCAATGTTTAAGACTTGGTGACATTAAAGACACCTTAAGGCCTAAAATTCTAATTATTGGATTTTAGACAATTTAGGACACTGCAGGCATCTTATGTTCAGATTGTAATGCTGTTAACTGTTGGTGGAAGAGACTACATTAATAAGACTAGTCAGGCCTGTGTTGTCCTGCAATAATTCAGTAAATCTCCTCACCCAGCAAGTCACTGCGATCCAGCAAAACCTCCAGGTCCTTGTCGCTGATCACCTTCCCCCTGGAGGCTTTCACTTCCCTGAGTGGGACCAAAGTTACAGTTAAATGTTACACTCTACTTCTGTTGAGTCGCAGTAAGGACACACCCATTTTCAATTCTCATTTACATCCTCTAAACATTTAAACTGGTTGGAGTAGAGGATGATTTCTTACTTCTCAGTTCCTCTGGCTTTCAGCAGCTCCATCAGCTCATCCAGATCAATGCAGCTTTTACTTTGGTTCAGCTCTGCCCTCCCGCCTTTGAACTTATCTGTGGAGCAAAGCAATAAATGAAAATCATCTAAAGTCAGAATTTGGAAAACATTTTCAGACCGCGCAGTCCAGTGCTGCAAATTCAATACATGGCACAAGATAGGATCAACCTTAGCTTATGGGCAACCTTGAATATCCCATTACAGTGAAGCCACTCACTCTTGTGGATGACCATCTGCTCCAGCTTCCTCTTGGCCGAGGCCCTCTCCAGGATCTTCTGGTCGATGGTGTTGGCTGTGACCAGGCGGTACACCACCACTGGTTTGGTTTGCCCGATGCGGTGACAGCGGTCCTGAGCCTGCAGGTCTGCCTGGGGGTTCTGGGAGGGGAAGGGAACATCACCTCACATTAATTAAACAAGATACACATGGAGGGAACTTTCAGCAAGGTAAAAAAGTTTTGGTTTATTATACATGACTTTTAACCTGCACCCACCCAGTCACTGTCGAAGATGATGACGGTGTCAGCAGCTGTCAGGTTGATCCCAAGTCCTCCTGCTCTGGTGCTCAGCAGGAACAGGAACACCTCTGGATCTTTGGAAAACTTGGTCATCTGTGGGAGAAGAAGCAGTTGGTATACTCACAGAGCCATCCCACAGTGACATGCTCAGAATGTTAAAAGCATTTCTGCAGTGTAAAACTCACATTTTCGTCTCTGTCGGCGTAGGACATGCTGCCATCCAGTCGGCTATACTGGAAGCCCCGCAAATAGCAGTAATCCATCAAAATATCCAAGATTGATGTCATCTGACTGAAGATCAGAACCTGGGCGACAACAACCAGCCACACATAAGAGTCAGAAATACCAGGTCTAAAATATAAGTACTTTGAGCCAACTCAGCAGGGCTACTAGCCACTGGTTAGTTTCTTGGATTTCATCAATCCTCCACTTTTGCTAATAATGATGTAGTTTTAACATATAGATAGATATTAGCTCCTGGTGTGCTCTGTTTCACCTTATGTCCCCTTTTTTTCAGTGCAGGCAGCAGTGCGTCCAGTATGAGAAACTTCCCAGAGCTCTGCACCAGCTGTTCATCAATCTGCAGGGAGGACAACCGCACAGATACAGGAAGACATGAACAAAAAACACAAGAAAAACACAATTAACCTGAGTCATACAACTGCACTTCTTTAATATCACTAGTGAACACATTCTGCCTCTCTTCTGTTTGGGGACATCGGGGATACTCCAAAGTTCTACAGCACCTAAAGCACCAACGTTACTGTATCAAAGAAGCACAGGTGACTGTGGGGTACCTTGAACTCCTGTGTGGCAGGGTCGAGGGGGTACTCCACCAGGTAGGGGTGGTTGCAGCATCTCTTTAGCAGCATGAGGATGTTCTGCAGCTTCAGGTTGATCTGGGCATCCAGCGGGCTCTGGACATCCAGCACTGGAGGGGCGCTAGAGGGGACAAGAAGAAAGGAAGTGTGAGCAGCCACACACAGCCACAGGTTGATCATGTTTGTAGAGGACATGCCTTCAGAACATGGTTTGTTAAATAACCAGCACTTCCTAACAAAAGCTACAACACACTGTTGAGATGTGATGTTAATAGATTAAAGAACAAGATGAGCAATCACAGTTATTTTAACGTGTGTGTGTGTGTGTTGTGTGTGTGTGTGTGTGTGTGTGTGTGTGTGTGTGTGTGGTGTGTGGTGTGTGTGTGTGTGTGTACAGTGCTGACCTCTGCTCAAGCTCCTTACGGACCCTCTCCAGATATTTCTCCAGGTCACGCGGGGTCTCTGTATCGGTTTCTCCGTAGTCCACCACCTTTCGACTGCGACGCTTCGGCCTGCCACTTGATGTCAAATCTACAGGAGCCTCCACCTGAATAAACCAAGAGAGCAAACAATTTCAATCACTTGGCACTTTTGATGGTGATAAAGTGACTATTTGGTTAAATAAATATATAAAGACAACTGATAACAAAACAACACTTTGAAGATCTCGTAAACTTGTTTCAAAAAGATATTTTGACCAGGAAATGTGGGACTTATCAGCAAACATATACGCTGCAATGCATATTGCTGCAATAAGCCAAAATCGGCTGATATATCAGCTAGGCAAAAAATTTAATAGATAAATCTGTTAAATACCAGGTTTAAAACCAGTTTCAGTCTTAACAGTGTGGGGACATTGGTGGCGTTACCTTTTCCTGGCCCAGCATCTTGCCGATGGTTTTGTTGACCACAGCAGTGTAAAAGGACTCCTGTTTGGCTGTCAGAGGAGCATAAACGATGATCTCCTTCTTAGGAGGAACCTCCAGCGTCACATCTGACTTCAGCCTCCTCAGCAGGAACGGAGTCAGAATCTGAAACCAGAGAAAACCTTTCCTGTCTGTGCTAAGTCTCTGATGTGGTATGTGCTTTTTTCTGAGTCATCATTGGATGTGAAGTGGGTCCCCCATGACTGCTCTGTGTGGTGGTGGTTTAGAGCAGTGGTTCCCCACCTTATTCTGTTCAATGTTTGGGTTTATCAGTTGTTCTGTATGTGTTTAATACAATAGGAAATACCCATAATATGTCACTTAGTGAGGGGTTGTCGGTTTACTCAATGATAGAAAAGGGGTCCCTTAAGGAAAAAGGTTAGGAACCACTGGTTTGGACGACTGACCTGGTGCAACATGCTCAAGATGTTCTGCTCGCGCTCAGCAGCCACCACGTTCTCAGCCTCGCCGAGGGTGTCGATGTCAAACCACGACTCAAAGCTACACAGAAAACACATCGACAACACTTTAAACCTGAACAATTAGCTTCATCAATTAACATACATGTCACATCTAAATGCATATAGATGGTGTCTACACAAGGTGATTTGGTCCTAAATTTAAGTGCAGACTGCACTTATGAGAGATGAGAGACACCAAAAAACAGTGGACTTTCCCCCTGTTAGTTTGATGGAGATTGTGGTTAAAAGCACATTAATTAAACCAAATACAACTGCGGTTAAATGTACTTGCTTTAACTAATGTCCAAACGTTCATCAGCAGAGTACACTGTAGCTTAATTCCAGTGAAACAAAGAACTGATTATCTGTTCTAAAGAGGACTCCAGTGGTCGGGACCCCACCAGGCCTTCTTGATTTTATGGGGCCCATAAGAAAAGTTTGCATTTAAAACCAGCAGGCTAATAGAATAATGGCCAAGCGTGAGGGAGAAGGAAACAGAATTTGTCAAAAAAGTAGCCTATTATGTACTATTGTTAAAAAATACATATTACACACAGAATTGCATAAAAAGCACTCTGTTATCTATAACTACAGAAAATCACATGGCTCCGTACCTCTTGAGGTCATCAAAGACCTCTGGCAGGAGGAAGTTGAGGAGGGACCAGAGCTCAGCCAGGTTGTTCTGCAGCGGCGTGCCAGTCAGCAGCAGCTTGTTGTCAGTGGGCAGCATCTTCAGCTCCCGCACCAGCCGGCAGTTGAGGTTTTTGATCCTGTGCCCTTCGTCCACGATCAGGTACTTCCACTGGTAGTGCTGGAGCAGAGAACACACGCAGCCTGGCTTCATATACAATACTCACTTGGATAAAAGCATCCGCTAAATAAATGTGCAGGAAAAGAGTGCCTCCTGGTCAGATTTTAGTTATAAAATCCTAGCCCAACACGCAGCTGCAGACAGCTCTGTCAGCCAAACTGGGCGGCAGCAGACGGGGTTGGACCAGCGTTTGGTACCAAAGTAGTTTTGCTAACTTCACTAACATTCAGAATAAGAGCTGAAAGTGTTGAATATTGAGATAAATTAGACATTACATGATCTACAAATGAATAATGTGTAATTTGGGGTATTTTCAAATTTACAGATCTGAATATTTTTGTTTTGTATAAGCTTCCTGTGTATACAAATGTCTAAATATACTTGTGACATTCTTATATATTTACTTACAGATGCATGCATGATTGCTTGATACACACTGAAAACCTCCATATATTAAAAACCATATATATACATTTACAGGCAACTGTGTATCTGTAGGGGGGTGTCTCTGTGACAGTGATATAACCATTAGAAAATGAGTCACGCATCGTGATTTAATGCATTTTCAGGACCACCAAAACAACTTATCTGCATATAAACTTGCCATGAATACAAAACTGTCCCTGTAAAAGCTGCATGTTTCAGTTATATGTAAGTATGTGCTTAATTGTTTGGTAAAGAGCGATTAGGGATCCTACCTGTAGGAACTTTCTGTCGATCATGGAGATCTCAAAGGAGGTGATGACCACAGGACACATGTTGAGGGGCCCCTGAGGCCTGCGGATCTGCTTCAGTAGCTTGGCCCTCTCTGGCTGGGGGCCATGGTAAAGCAGCACAGATACCTAGAAAATAAAGCCCGACACTGCTCAGACTACAACAGATATTAACACACTCAGTGACAGTGGTCAGACAGCGTCATTCAGCACTCAGAGAAGGGTCCAGCTGCGGCTTGGGTGTTCCCGTCATGACACAAGAACGCCTATTGGGCGGTCCTGGTAGCG